CCACACCCACATGGGGGGTTTGAAGGCCAAGCCAAAACACTGTGCCATAAGCATCAGGGCTTGTTCCCAAGCTCAGGCAAGCAGGGTCGTTCCAGAGATCCCATACATCACCAGAGCCCCGTCCAAGCCCAGCACACATTCCTATTGTTTTCAGGAACACACACAGACCCAATTTACCATCTGGTCTGGAACTCTTTATGCTCTGAGGCTTGATGCAAATCAACACAGCTCCACTAATTGCTGGGATGTTAATGATGCTCACGCCAAGGCACAGTCAGGCTGAGCAGCCCGGTGCCAGCTCTGCACCACTCTGACAGCGTGACTGTCCCGCAGCCTGCGAGGTGCCACAGCCCCTCAGTCCCGCTCCGTGGCTTGCAGGGCAAGGATCACCCGCCTTGGGATGCTCCCAGAGCCTAAAATGCAAAGGTGAAGGCAAAAAGAGCTAGAAAAGGAAAAGGAGTGGGGATGTAAAGGAGGAATTGAGCCCCGCAGATGCCCTGCCCTGCAAACTCCTCAGTGTGGAAAGGAGAGGAGAGGGCAGGTAGTGAGAGACGGGTGTTGGGTGAGTCTTCTCTGGGAGCAGATGAAATCCTTATCGAGGATTCAGATGGGGAGAATATTTGAGCCAGTGCAGTGAAAAGCTTGTGCCTGCAGAAGGAGGTTGCATCAATTAGCTCCTCAGCATCTCCTGGATCAGGCAGCCTGCCTGCCCCTGGCCCTCCTGCCAACCACCTGCCTCCTCCTGCAGGCACAGAGCAGGGCTGGAGCTCTGGAAATGCTGCCCAAAGTAGTCACAGCCAGCATCCCACAGCCCCCAGGGCCAGTCCTTCCTGATGCTGCTCCAGCCCAAGTGGGGAGTCACCGGTTTGCCTGTGGCAGGGAGACTTCAAGCAGTTCCAAATGACCCTGTCCCTGCACATCCGTGGAGCTGCGGTCGAGCTGCAAAGGAGAGGCCAGTTTGGGAACCTGAAGCAAATGTATTCCCGTGGCTGGTGATTAGGAAGAGGTTCAGATTAGATGTAAGGCACCACGTGTGTCTACGCTGGTTCATGGCTGTGAATCCTTAAGCATCTTCCCCAGTAGCCTCCCCCTCTTCTTCGTTTTGTTCTTTCACGACTGATCAGTGATTTCTCCTCCCAGCTCTTGAAACAAGAGAACAGGAATTTTAGGACACTCTGCTGGACTTATTTATTTACCCATTACCTTGTCCCACGTGGGGGAAAACACTCTTTTACCTGCTGAGACCTGTCAGGACAGGGACCAGCAGCAGCCACCCTGATGTCCCCATGGAAAAGGCAGTGGTTGTTTGTGTACCCCAGGAGGGTCACACAGGCAGTTTCTATCAGAATTGTCAAAGGCAACAGGGCTGAAGGGGTCTGTGGGGAGTTCAGGTTGCCCTGAGACCTCCCTTTGCTCCAGAGTTTAGCTTGGAGTGGAGGAGTTCACACAGATCAACAGGGCTTGGGGCTGGCAGGAGCAGCTGCAGCTGGAGTGGGTCAGGAGCGGTGCAGAGGACACTGCAACCTTCCCATGCCAATTGTCCATAAAGGATTTCTTGTTTCCTTTCATTAGCCTACTCAGACTAATTATTTCAAGTGCACTGTTCCAAGCTTAAAGGAAAGAAAATTGAGTCACTAAGGAGCTGATGCCATGTGGGATGGGCAGGGCTGGCTCTTTTTCCTGGAGCTGCAAACCCTTAATGCTCCCACTCCCCATTTTTCAGTTGTGTCGGATCAGGCAGGGATGACAGTCAGCATCACTGCGTGTTAAAAGTGTCGGACGCTCATGGAGTTGTGCTTCAAAGCAAGCTGCACATTTTATGCATCTTCCCTTGGGATGATTGGATCCAGGTCCCCCCACGGGTCACCTCCAGGAGGTGGCTGTGTGGTTTTGGGCAGCAGGACCATTCCCAGGGCAGTGGACACTATTGCCTTGCCATGCCCAGTGTGCTGGGACAGAGGACCACTTGGTCACAGTCACTGCCCTCCCAGGAAGGTTCTGCTTTAAATCAGGTTTGCTTTCTGCCTCATTCGCACCCTGCAAAACACTCACACCCGACACAACAGGCACTTCTGAGCCTGGTGAAAGCTGTTGGGAGCTGGGTGGGGCGGAGGGATCAAGCTGTCCCACCACTCATCCTGGTGCCCTTGAGCTCCAGCGGGTGGGGACATGACACCCTCAGCAGGAAGGGAATGAGCTCTCCAAGGGTGCTCCAAAGGGCTTTCAGCCTTCATAATGCCTCATTTGTACCTTATTACCAGCCTGTTGAGCAGGGAAAAGCAGCCAGAGGTGTACGGGAGGTGGCTGTGTCCTCTGGAAGAGTGGTGGAATGTTGGATTGCTACAGGGCATCCCAGGGTGGGAGCAGGAGTAGAGCCGGGTGAAAGAACATTGCTTTTGTTTTATAGCTCAGGCAGTGGGCCTTTATTTATCTATTTATTTATTTATTTAATATTTGCATTTGCAAACCCATTTCCCCTCTCTGCAAGCAGAAAGGCAGGCGGGTGCCAGCAGATGGGCACAGATGCTGCTGCCCACCCCGGCTGGCACTCCGAGCCCCGGGATCTGGAGTTAATAAAGCTGGATCCCAACACTCAGCTAGGAAAATGAGATGCCAGGCGTGCCTGGTGAGCCTGGCAGGGGCTGGTTTTCCTGCAGGTTTGATGAGCTCTCCTGGGGAGGGAATGGCAGATGTTGCAGTTGGCTCTTGGTGCCCCTCCAAGACGGGCAGCGCTGAAGGAAGGGAGTGGAAGTGGAGAGCAGGTCTGGATGCCATTCAGGGGATTATCGTTATTTAATCGTTGGTGTAAGTGAGTGCAGAGCCCCGGTACCTCCTGGCACGGGTGCACGTTTTTGAATAAAGGTGTTGGAAAAGGCAAAGCACAGCCCCAAAATGAGCTGGATTTGCTGCCCAGCAGGTGAGGAGGCACCACTGCAGGGTGCTGGGCAGGTCTGGGTGCTGGGACGTGGCACCACACAGCCCCCCTCCTGGGAATCTAGAAGCCAAATTGGTGGTTTCCAGCTGTGAGCTGATTTATGCAATGAGTGGTGAGACCTGATGGAGGCAGCAGCTTCAGGGAGAAGGTGTTGTTCCACCTGGGCATTAGTGAAGTGGTTATTTATTTCACGAGATGTTTGATCAGACAACTCCCCCCGTGTAAAAATGATTAAATATTTATCTCCCCCTCCCTCTTTGCATTAAATAGTCGAGCTGCCTTTTACCAGGAGGGAAACTGAGGCTGGGGCTGGACCTTACCTTCTTCTCAATGTTCCCTGCAGAAAAGGCAAGAGCAGCCCCTTCCCATCTGCTCCACTAAGCCAAACTATCTCCCAGTGTTTTCGTGGAAGGCAGAGGCTCTGGCATCACCCCACCCTGCCCCAGCAGCCCTTGCCATGCTGCCACCACATCTCCCAAGGGAGTTTGCTTAATGAAGATTAAAGCAGTGCCGCTGCAAGTATGTCAGTCATAAAAATAACAGAAAATAATAAAAGGAACAAAGCACCGTGGCTATCAGCCCAAGTGGAAGTCTCAATTAGCAAATATATCAATCACTGATGACATCCTAAGTAGCGTTTACAGTGAGAGCATTACAAAAATGATTTGCAATTACAGCACTGCTGCGTCTTTGATGGGAGCAGAGCTTCCTGGGGATGCCTCAGGGAAGCACCATCCAGGCTCCCAGCCCAGCACAAAGCCAGGGTTCGCTGCCCTGGGGACAATATTTGGGAATATCTGCAACCACAAGAGTTGTTGTCCCCTTTAGGTTTGCCAGGGTGGGGCCATGGAGGATGTTCAGGATGCCATGGCACAGCTCCACGGAGGGGGGAACATTTGCTTCTGCCTTGGAGTAGAAGGGGTTTGGCTGGTACTGAGCGCTGGGCTGGAGAGAACACACAGCTGGGTCCCACCAGCCTCGCTCCAGCCTCCTGCCCATGAGCGGTTTGGCCTTGCAAACCCTCCAAAAGAGCCGTGTGGACAGGCCCCATCTGCTTGTTCCTGGCCTGGGTACAGGGGGAGTTAAAAGCCCTGTGGCCCTGGCTGCAAGGAGCGGGATGAGGGCCCAGCACACCCAGGCAGGATCTGCCTGTTGGGTACCACCACCTGCCCCCCAGCTGCCCCCGTGGCCCAAGCGGGGACCAGCCCACTGGGGACAGAGCCAGAGATGATTTACAGCTCCACTGCTAATGCCTAAGGCCCGGGATGAAAAGGGATTGGACGAAGGCGCTGGAACATGCCCAGTCATTTATGAATATTACTAGATTACAGGCAGCTTACAGGCTCCCAGCTGTGATCAAACCCCGCCGGGCAGCGGGGAGAGAGAAAGGCTGCAGGAGGAGTAAAGCCTCTCCCAAACATCCTCCAGCCCTGAGATGTGTTCCTGTACACACGCACACAAACAAACAAACAAAAAACCCAAACACACAACCACCGCTTGTTTGCTTGTTTGTTTTCAAGGAATTTGTCAGGTCTTGCTCAAGCATCCACAAACATCCCATTTGGCAATTGATTTCCACAGCTGGAAGAATCAGAAAAGCAGCTTCTTCTTGAAGAAAGAAAGAAAAAAAGAAAAAAAGACTAATTTGGAGGGTTTTTTTTGTTAGAAACCCCAGCGTCTCCCACTAAAAAAAAAATGTAGTGATAAAAGATCAATTTCCTTTTGTTTTCATTCCCTGCCCTGCTCAAGCCCGAACACGTTCCTGCAGACGCAGGTTCTGTGCTGGGGTGATTTAATCAGCTCAGTAAACAGATGTCAAGGCTGAGTGGAAGGAAGATCCGTGGGGAGAGCACAATGCAGACAAAACATTTCTGTGCTCCAAGTGCAAGGTGAGCTCCCGGGGCTCCAGAATCCCGGCAGGATGATGACTCTGCCCTGTGTGGCTCCCAGCTTTCCTCTGTGTCGCTGCACATCTTTCCGTGGAGCAGCAAGCACAGCAAACCTCTCCTTGGAGACCCCTCTGGGTACTGGCAGGTTTCTGGATTGATGAAGCCTTGCTCTCAGCTTCAAAACCCTCTTAGCTCCAGGGCTTCGTGGCAGGAGGATGGAGGGATTACAAGTTTCCCAAAGCATGTTTTATCCCTGGGGGTTTGGAGGTTGTGGTGCTGGTGGGACCTGAGACTCTGCTCAAAGCCTGAGAACCACAGAATGATTTGGGCTAGAAGGGACCTTGTAGATCACCTCATTCCCCCCCCCTGCCATGGGCAGGAACACCTTCCACTAGACCAGGTTGCTCAGAGCCTGGCCTAAGATGAGTTGGAAGAGCATCCTTGCAAGGGTTCCCTAAGCCTTGCAGGCTCGGCAGCTCTGCCCACCCTGCAGCCCCCTCCCAGCCCAGCTGCAGCTCAGCCCACACTCACCCACAGCTCAGAATGTTTAGGGTAAGTTTGCCCTCGGTGGTTGGTCTCCTCACAACTCTCCTCAGGGATCTGCAGTGATCAAAAGAGAGAGGAATTATTCAGAGCAGTGTAACAAGGAATAATGCGCCGGCAAGGGAAGATGGGGAGATGGGAAGTGAGAGCAGCAGGAATAATAGTGGTTCTCTCCGGGTGAGTAATTTGCCCAAGGGTTTAGACTGACAGGCTGAATTGCTGGTGGGCTCTGAGGGAGCCCTGATGACTGGGGACAGCTTTGGGGTGTCCCACACAGGGCAGTGGGGCACAGCTGAGCAGTTTGGAGATCTTCCTGGGTGCCTCCCACCAGGCTGTGCCTCCTGCCCCCTCCCAACCTTCACAAGGAGCTCTCTGAGAGTTCCACGGGCAGGTCTGGGCAGCCTTCTGTTATCCCAGAGCAGTGAGGGATGCAGGATGGAGGGGAGGCCAGTGCTTGTCCCCACAGCCTCCTGGGGGGGCTGATCCTGCCCTCACACCGGGGGTAGCTCCGTCCCATCAGCGTCGCTGCGATTCCATTAACACGCAGGCACAGGCACTAAATTACTTTTAATAAATACCTAATGAGAAGATGACAGCCACTTCTGGACTCTCAGCAGTCCCCCTCGGTTATTCACCAGCTCAGAAATGTACAACCCGCCTTCAATAATTGATAGTCCACTAATGTGGAGCTCAGGGGTAGGAAAGGGCCCCATTAATTACTGCTGGGCAGCGCTCGGCTCCGGCACCAAATGCCACCAGGAGAGTGCTCTGGGAGTGATGCTGATAAAATACAGCAGCTCTGAGCTGCACACCACCAGTGGGTCCTGCCTGCTCCCTCTGGAGGCAGGCTGGTGGTCCACAAGTGCAATTAAAATTCGGGTGTTTCAGGAACACGAACCCAAGAGGTGGCTCTGGGCTTTCAGGATTTCTCGGAGGCAGGAGGGCTTTGTGGCCAGGCCTGCTCCCCACAGCCCCAACCCAAAGCTGCTGCACATCCCTTTCTCCAGGGTGGAAATGAGTCTGAGAGAGCTCTGTGACATCTTCCTGTCCTAGAGAAGGGCAATCCACATTCTGGAGGGCTTTTTGAGCCCCCTGTGAATTATGGTCAGCAGCAGGTTGTCAGCATTGCCCTGGGGCTGGAATGTTGGGTAGACATGGCTGCCTCCAAGCTGGCTGCAAGGTTAGGGGAAAAAAGGGATGTTGGCAGAGTGGATCACCCAGTAAAGTGGAAAACAGGCAGAAAGAGGAGAGCTGCTCTACAAATCCCCAGGGGACCGAGTCTCACATGTGTGTTCTGTTCCCCTGCCCACTGCCACACTTCATCCGTGCAAAAAACCAGATGAAATTCCATCTACAGCAAGGCAGGAACAGAGATGGCCCACAAGTCTGCAAAGAGTTATAGAGCAAATGACCAAAAAGTCATTGTAAATCCAATCACATTAAACCCTACACTTCAGAAATGTTCCAGTGTCTCCCTAAAGCCATCCCCTGCCGAGGTGATGAATCTCAGGGTAATTTGCACAGCACCTGTCAATGAGACACAATTTTCACCTTTCAACGAGATTTTTAGGATGTTTCAGTCAATGGGATTTTCTGAGGGCGAAGGGAGATGGAGGGTTTATGGGAGTGCCTCAGGTGAACGATGGACTCCTGGAAAAGTCAGCAAAAGCCTGGGCTGTGATGGATGTGGCCTGTCTCCCTGAGAAAAGCCTTCTTCCCTCTGCCACCAAGAAAGGCTGCTCTTGGATTTTGGTGAGGAGGAAAAAAAACAAAAAAAAGGCAAATTTTGCAATTAAATATGGTGTTGCAGAGGAGGGAGTTGGGAAGGCAACAGCAGGTCTGGAGAGGTGAGGTCTCACATTGTCCCCTGACCCCCCAGAGAAGGTGAATTGGGGTCTCCCGTATCCCCAACACCCCCTGCTCTCTGCATGTTCTCCCAACCCTCCTCCTCCCGGGGGAGGATCTGCCCAAACAACCAGCAGACGCCTTGCCTTGGCAGAACAGCCTGTGTTTGAAGATGGGAAAGCACAGAGGAGCAGGGATTAAAGGAAAGTAAACAGTTCCCTCTGCGTGCCCGGGGCTGCCTCTGCCAAGGCGCTGCCTCCGGTGCCCCCGAGCCCCGCAGCGCTTGGCCAGGAGCATCCCCGCTGTCAGCACGGGCTGGGGCTCTGCAGAAATCACCTCCTGCAGGTCTCACCTGGGCTCAGACCCCTGGTTCTCCCTTTAAAACAGCTTTTTAGATAAATTTTCTTGCACAAGCCACCCAGACGAGGTGTCCTGGAAGGATGATCAATAAGCAATAATCACACCCCCCCCCCCCCCCCAAAGATGCAGGAGTTATTAATGCATATGCAGGAAAACGGCATTTCATTAGGAGCCTGATAATACCTCGGCCATATGGTGTTATATTTACCATCCACACTCCAAGCACAGCCTCTGTCAGCTCCCGGAGCTTCCAGCTAAAAAGAGGGTGGAGGTGATAATGGATTTTCAAAGAGACAATTATTTGCTGGCTCTGTCGCTCCTGTGGATCAATGGCAGATGTTTCTACTGCATCCTGACCCATTTTTGATCCTGAAAACGAGCCTGTGTTGGGGCTTCCCGGCCTGTACAGAGCTGGGAATTGTCCCTATTCCTATTTGCAGCTTTGGAAGGGACGGGAGCCACTTACTCATTTTGCGGCCAGTGGGATTGTGGCGGCCCTGTGGGGCTGATCCAATGGATGGGGTCCTTGGCGAGGTGGCCAGAGGGGGTTTTGGCTCCCTCCAGCAATGGGGTACATAGAAAACCCCATCCCAGCCCTCCTGCCATGGGAAACGCTCCAAGCCTGCTCCGAGCAGGCAGGTCTGTGGCTTGACCTGATGTAGAGGAAACGCATCAGTTCACTTTACTGATTGTAACTAATCCGGGCCTATTTCACATCTGAGAGAGTCTTTCCTGGCTCCACTGCAGATCAACCTTTAAATAAGGGCTCTGGCTGCCTGTAAATCTCTGATTAGAGCCGTGGCAGGGGAGCTGTGCTGCTCCAGGGATATCTGTGGGATCCACACACATGCACACACACTCTGGGGCAGGGAAAGGGCCTGATCCTTCCCATGGGAAAAGGCTGAAGGAGCAGGTGACGAGCTCCAGCCACAGCACCCCACGACAGATCAGCGAACTCCCAGACATCCCCCAGCACCTGCAGCCCCGTGGGGGGCTCAGTCTCACCATCAGCCCCAGCCCCTTGCAGGAAGCCTTATCTGGGTGAGTAATTCTGAAGCATCATCCTGCAGAGCCGGGGAGATTACGAGAGTTTAGATGAGCAGATGCCTCCCTAGATCAGCTTCTTGCTAAATTAGCATTAGCTTTTTACAGCACCAGCAAGCTGTCGCCTGCTCGGGAGCCCCGTTCCCAGAGCACACCCTTCTGCTGGGTGTTAAAAATGACTTTGCAGTGCACTAAATGCCCTGCACCAGCCACAGGAACAAATATTTCAGGTTTTTGAGACCCCAGAGGTGGTGGGCTCTGTGCTCAGCAAGGCTGGCTGGCTGTGGAGGGCAAAGTGCTTCCCAGTGGTGCTGGGTGATGCTCAGCGAGGCAGAGCCCTGGACAGGGGGTGGATTCCAGCAGCCCTCCTCCAACAGCAAATCCAGGAGATGTGTATCACCCTATTTTTAGGGAATAATGGGAGGTGCAGAACTCAGTGCCTTTTGAGAGCCCCCAGCAAAGCACGTCCAGGGGTGCAATGGACCCCTCTGGCATCTGGAGGCAGGGATAGGTTTTAAGTCCTTGCTTTTACCAGAATGTGCAGGATTGATGTTCCCTGTGCCCAGAGAGGTGGCATTAGTGGGGAGCTGACAACCCTCACACCTCTGTGAGCTGTCCATGCTGCCACCCAGGGACCCTGATCCCAAAAAGTCCCTCAAAAGTTATAAAAGGGGCATCTGAGTCCCGGCACTGCAGGGTGAGGGCAGGGAGGCTCCAGCTGCCCTACAAAGGGCAGAGCTCTGGGACACAGCCCTGAGACCCCCATGGGGACTGGCAGGTCCTAGGGGTGCCTTCCCATGGCACCAGTTTGGGTGCTGCATCCCTGCAGCCCCACACACATTCCCTGAAAACACCAGGCTCCCACCCCACGCTGCTACTGGGGCTGATTTGATTTCCAGTCCTGAGAAGCACTTGTCTTGTATGGGCTGGTGAATAATTTATAATTTGCTTATGAGCAAAGGCAATGGGGAGCGTAGAGAAGGGGAGGGAGAATAAATATATATTTATAAAAAATGGAAAAAGCTAAAAAAAAAAAAATAATAAAAATTCATAATAATGCCCAAACCGATCCTGTAAACTGTTCCTTTGATCTAATCCAGAATAAATTATACATAACGGAGCTGGTTGGGTTTGCTTGCCGACAGCATGAATAAAAAAAAAAAAATGGAAAGCAAGAAAGCAAGCCAAATCATTTGGGCTAATAACAGTGTGCTCGGTGTATGTGCTTCATCTGGTATTATTTTGCAGCAGCAAGCGCAGATTTTCCTGGGAAAGAAACCCATTTTTCAACTGGGGATGTGCTGTGCAGGCAGGGAGCTGGGGGTAATGTTCCATGATGGCTGGAGCATCCAAGGAGGGTGTTTTTCTTTCTCAGGCAAGGCCAAGAGATTCCCCAATATCTTGGGAATCTCTCAGGGATCTGGAGCTCACTGGAGCTCAAGACAACACTTTGCTGCAGAGGCCACAGGGCAGATGCATTTACCAAAACCCTGAAACGAGGTTGATTCAACAGAACCCAACATTTTTGATTCCCAAAGCAGACCCACAGGAAAGTTTTGAGAACTCCAGATTATTTTCCCAATGCCTTCGCCCTCCTTCCTCTTCCTCCTCTCTCCTTCCTCCATCCTCCTTCCCTCTGACCCTGAGATGAGCTCAGTTGGTGAGAGCACGGTGCTAATTGCATCTAAAGTTGAGGGTTTGATCCCCCGATGGGCCACTCCCTGAAGAATTGGGCTTGATGATCCTTATGAGTCCCTTCCAACTCAGAATATTCTGTGATTGTGATTCTCCCATGGAAGGGAAGTACTGAGTGAGGCAACTTATCAGGACTGATGTTTCCTGAAGGGCTTGGCTTATTGCTCTGGGATGCAGATTCATTGAGAAACACAGTCCATAAAGAATTCCCACCCAGCTTGGGAGCCAATTCCCACTCAAAGGCTAATGGAAAATCATTACCTTTCACAAGTCCAGCCCCACAACTGCACTGACTTTCTCAGGATGAGAAAGGTATCGACCAAGTAGCCAATACTCCAAAAAAAAAAAAAAAATATTCCCCCAGGGTTGGCTTCAGCATACAATTAAAAATCCCAGCAAAACTCCCAGCCCTTTCAAACGTGCAATTACAGAGGCAGGGAATGAACCAGGCCCTGCTGTGGCACAGTCATGTTCAGCTGCTGACCAAAAACGCCTCCTCAGATTTACTGTTTTGTCATGAAATCGGAGAGGCATCACCAGGGGCAAATGGGAATCAGTTTGGGAAGAATAAAAAGTCACTAAAGGTCTGCACTTGGTCAGCATCCTCAGCTAAGAGGAGCTGCAGCCTCTCCCAGCGATGCCAAAGCTGTTGCTGCCCCAACAGAGCAAGTGCCTTTGGAAAAAATCAGCCTGGTTTTGGGGTTTTCTTTAGGAAAAGCCACAGTTTTTCCTCTGAATCGCTGTTTCAGGAGCAGGGAGAGTTCCATCACAACTAGCCCCTTGCTCTGGATGGCCACACTGGGGTGGGGACAAGCCCCCAGTTCACTCCGTGCACCGGGAGCTCCCCAAGAGCTCCTCGCTGCCTATCTACACCCAGAAAA